CTACAGACGAACTTTGGGTACGCATACAAACAGTATTGAATTCTCTTCCTCAGACAGACATTCAAAGTTTGCTTGACTCCATGCCATGTCGTGTAGCAGCACTTATTGCGGAGCGTGGTGATTACACAAAATACTGATTTCGATCTCTTGTTATTGTTTGTTTGCTTTGAAAGTTTAATCATTTATTTGTACCACTACCACTCAACTGTGTATTAAATTTCATTCAATTATGACGTTTCCTTCATGGTGTTGCAATTTTCACAAACAGGAGTTTATATATATATATTGTCAAAGATACATTGTCAATAAAAATACGTTGACAATAAAAAATACATACAAAACAAAAAATACCTAAAATTGTGCATTGTTTCTATTATGGGAAATTATTTTATCAGAGTAGTTCCCGTTAAGAAAACAACAGAAAGAGGGAGAGAGTTTCAGATAAATTAACCCTCGAAAATTACTTATTTTTTATTCATCGCATTTTTTAGTTAAATTATTTCTGTCGAGCTTTTCTTTCTGTTTATTGTATAGTGAAGTCTTATTACTATTTTTTATTCTTGAAAAATATCATTTCGTGTTACGACTTTGAAAAATGGTTAAGGGTCAACAATATACATGGCGTAGTTTTATGTTATCAAAAGTTGCAAGGTTGCAAGTTAAGATAATGTCAATTAATAGATGTGATTTCATATTTGCGATGCAAAAACAACTTTAGTTTTTAAAAATATTGATATACCAAATTGCGAAAAAAAATCCATTGTTTGAAGAATATTTTTGACTAAGGATTTAAAATTGTGTGGTTCGCAGAAAATATGGCAAGTAGAATTAAATTTTTGATTTTTACTATTTTCACGCGAAAAAAAATTATTTTTAAACTTCTTAAAATTATGAACATTCTCGAATCGGGAAACATTCAGATCGCATATGCGATACAATAAAATTTATATCGTTGTGTCACTTTATCTAAACATACATTTTGTTAAAGCTCTTCTCTCTTGATTGATTAGTTTGACTTTTTCTGTTCTGACATGTTCTAACTTGTCTCAAGCTCACGAGATTCAATTGGCTGCTCTTTCTTATCATCACTCAGAGTGGTGGAAGTATAATTCATGTTTCGCTCTCTGGCCATCAGAGATATTTTGAAGATCATCCTTTTGTCTTAGACATAAGAAAATTCCCCAAAACTTGGCTGAATTATGTCAATATTATTCGAATTTCACATTTAAAACGCGAGTCAAACTATTTGAATACTAATAGATATAGTGGCCATAAGAGAGAAATAGACATGAAAGTGTTTTTCATGGTTGAGAACTGTACATAATGCAAATTTTGGATACAGTCTAATTATATCCAGTGGTTATTTTTTTACATATTTGTTTGTACCGATGCACGTCTAGTTTTCAATTGATACTTTGAATACCAGAAAATGATGGAAAATGCTAAATATGTCTTTACAAGAAGTACATGATTTTACGAGGATTATGCGCCTTTCACAAGGATTATGTGCAATTGAGATGGATTATGTGCTTTTTATTAAGAATAATAAGACAATTGGAATATGTGTCACTCATAAGGATTACGTGCATGAAACAAGATTGGCAGTTTTTAACTACTTTGTGCTTTTCTATGAATTGGATTAATACATTATCAGCAATAGTTGTTGGGTAAATATATTATTTTATAATTTTTTGACGAATAGAAAATTTTTTATTACTTTTTGCTCATATTACCATTTGTACCATATTTAATGGAGATATATTGTAATATAAGCTTGAAATTGATCCTAGAAAGAGGTGTATAATTGATAATTTTTCTAAGAATGATTGATACCTTTTCTAATAAAATTAATGGGAATAAAATTTTAAAAAATATTTTGTTTCAAAGTGACCATTTTAAACTTACTTCTTTGTGCTACTGAGCTTTCGAGAGCAAATAACATCTGTATTATGACATCTTCATACAGCTTTTTAATTCGAGCAACTAAAATGTTTGAAAGGACACTGCCAATGTTTAAAGTTTAGTTCATCAATAAGTTGCCCTAGACATCGTAGTATACCAAATTTAATGATAAAATAATTGTTTTTTTTAAAAACTCTTAGTTATTTTTAAAAAACCTCATTTTTTGTATTATATATTTATTAAAAATTTAAACAAAAATAATTAGTGATGATTTTATTCAATGTTTACATACAATATGATGTATTTAATATGAGTGTTAAATATAAGTGTTAATTATGACATGATTATGTTCAAGTCAAATTGAACATTTACGTTTTATTTTTAGAAGTCACTTTAAAATTTCAATCCATATATGATAACTATGCTTGAAAACATCTCACTATGTTATATTTCCCATACATTTATATTAAATGTACATTTAAGTAGTTAATAAATATATTTAAATATTAATAACTATTAATTTCAAGTTTAGACTGTTGGAGCAATTAAGGTGACAGTTTAAATTTTGTTAAACAAATAAATTATTAATTATCATTTATGTCTTCATAATAGAAATCAGGTTTTTGAATTTATTCTGAATTATTTGTATGGATAGATATATGT